ATGCTTGTTGGTTTTTAATGTACATCTTTTGTCCATATCTTGATACATTCATTTTCCTCTTTCTCTATTAAAAATAGTTTAAAATTTCAAATTCCAGTTATTCATTGGGAAAAATCATCTTTGCATTCCCAGTGTCTAATACAGCATGTGGTACCTGCAAGTATACAATAAACGTGTGTGAATAAAATGAATGGCTACGGGCATTAATTTGTGCCCCCTGACTTGCAAGTTTCTTGACAGCAGGAAACCATACTGAAGAGAACACACAGAAAATCATGCTCAAGTGTGATATAATAGTGAATACATTTGCTTTTGTCAACCGACCATTCTACACTCAGAGCTTCAAAAACTGCTTTGAATTTCCTGATTGAGCGTTGTCTTTGTTATGCTAATGGGGTGATTCAGGGTGGGCTTTTAACTTTGAGGGAGGGCCTGGCCACCCAGAAAGATGAAGCACATTTAAAGGGTTAGAACTTCAAGCTATTTCCAAATTCTAATCTGCAGGGAGGGAAGGAAGGACTGGAAACTGAGTTGAATTATGACCAACAATTCAATTATGCCTACATCATGATTACAGATGTCCATGGAGCTTCCTGGCTATTGAACTTACTGATATACTGGGTAAGAGAATCCCCTGACTCCAAGGGGACATAAGCTTCTGTGCTCAGAGACCTCCCAGACCCTGCCCTGTGTATCTCTTCTGCTAATTATTTATTTGTTGCCTTTATAATAAAACAGTAATTATTAGTATAAAAGTATAGAACTTTCTTGAGTTGTGCAAGCTGTTCTAGTAAATTATCAAACCTGAAGGATTTGTGGGAACACTTGAATTTGTAATTACCCAGGAAGAAGAGCAGATGGCTTGAGGACAACTGAAATGTGTAGTTGGTATTTGAAATGGACAGTTTTGTGAGACTGAGCCTTAACTTTAGGAGTCTTTGCTAACTCTGGCTAACGCTTCAGAATCAAATTAATATTAGGATACCCAGTTGGTATCGAGAGTTGGTATCAGAACACGCAAATAAATGCAGGGTGAATCCTAAATGCACCTTGAATGTCTACAGAGAAGTTTCTCTGATATGCATCAATGAAAAAAATTAACATTATAACACTAGGAATTATGGATTTTATGGGACAGCTATATATAGGAGAAAGAGCATTGAAAGTGGCCCTTATTAACTATATAACATTAGACAAATCACTTGATGTTAAGAATTCTAGTTTCAACATCTTTAAAAATGGAGATAATGATGTCATTGATTAACTGTACGTGTAAGCATAACTGTGCCTTAGTGTTAGATATTTGATCAAACATTATTCCGGATGTTTACGGATAAGATTTACCTTTAAATTAAAAGATTTAGAGTAAAACAGATTGCCCTCCATGATGTTAATGGGACTCATCTAATCAGTTGAAGGTATGAATAGAACAAAAGATTAACTTCTGAGCGAGCGTGAATTCTACCAGCAAACAGCCTTTTGACTTTAACTGTGCCATCAGACAAATCTTTGCCCAGAGCCCCAGGCTACTGGGCCACATAGAAGATTTCGTACTGGCCAGTCTCCAAAATCATGTCATTTCTGTAAAATAAATTTCTCTCTCTCATAAACGCACATGCATGAACATACACACACACAAACACACACAGGAATTCTCTTGGTTCTGGATCCAGAATATATAATCTCACCTGGTTATTAAGAGAATTAAATGTGATAATGTATGTGAAACTACATACATTGGTAAATTTTAAACCATTATAAAACACAAAGATTGTTAAATCTGATTAGTACATGTAATATGATCTGAACTTTGTTGAGGTTTTATAAACATAAATTAGTGTTGACAAATGTGATCACAGAAGCAATATTATAAGTAAATGGATTTGAATTATCACAGGAAAAGCTACAAGACGGCAACAAATAGGAAGGGAGCCTCCTAGACTTCTGTTCTGGACCGGCAAAAACATCTGTGCCTCAGAGTGTAAACTCCAGAGTGTAAATTCCACAGCTAGGCTGACTGAGTTCAAATAACACAGCTAACATCTGGCACAGTGCTTAGCACAGTCATTGTCCAGATAATTGCTGAATAATAAGTGACATTTACCTATGTGGTTGGCCCCAAAGTGCATTTTTAAAAAAAAATTTTAAAAAGATTTATTTATTTATCCATACAAGAACTGGGGTACAGGACAGAGGTACAGGGGTGAGAGGAGTCACCAGAGACAGAGTGGGGAACAGAACAGGCAGATTAACTGAAATACACTGCTGAGGGGAGAGCAGGAGAGTCAGGAGAGGTGTGCTGCAACATGTGGGTAGCTCCCAGGCGGGGATCAAACTCGTGCTGCAATGGCTGCAGATACCTTTATAGGTTGTGTCTAAACCCCTTGCGCCACCAGGGAGGCCCCCAAAGTGCATTTTTGTGGCTGACTAGGTGGAAAGAATTAAATATCTCGGAGTTAAGCATAAGGCACTTCAGCATGTAACGTGGAAGGTTAGAGAGTACTTATGTGTTAAATCTGGTCATGTCCTCCGAAAAGTTAAATGTCAGTCAGTCATGGTGTGTATGTTAACTAGAAGCTGGAACCTTAGTCTGTCTGGGGGTAGTCCAAAGCCACTAATGCAGAGTTCCTCATGAATAAATTCACAGGTGAACTTCACTCTCTAAAACAAATGGTTTTGCTTCCTTCGACTTTTGCTGAACTTTGCCTCATAGCAAGGTGCATAGCCTGGAGGAAAAATCAGCTTTTAAACATTAGGACAGTAACTGCAAGCTGTTTGCCAGCATAGCCAACTGTCCACAAAAGCCTGCTTATGAAGTCACTATGAAGTCAGGACTCTAGGTGATATTTCTTGTAGCAGCCAATGGCCGTCTGGCTTATATTAGTATGCTTCACAACTTTATGGATTGTGGTTTACGTGGGCAGATATTTTGAGACTCGGCTAGGGAAGAATATGGTTGCTTTCAAAACATTCTAGGCAAAAGCTTCTATCTGAGAAAGGAGACCAGACTTCAAGTCTTATTGGTATTTTGGGAAATATGTTACAATATTTCCAGAGCTGAGATAGGTTACTTTAAAGTAAAACAACAGTAAGATACTATTTTCCACATATAAAATTGGGAAATAATTGGTTTTTTCCAAACATTACTAAGACTATTTCCCTATTGGAAAATCATTTGGCCAACGAAAAAAAATTTCAAAAACATGCGTGTCTTTTGACTCCCTGTTGTACTTCTAAGTATGTATACCAAAAAAAAATCTTATCTTATTACTATAAACACAGTGTTGTTTATAGTAGTGAAAGATCAGACATAAATGAAACATCTAACATCTTCCTAAAGGAATTTTGTTACATTCATATGAAGGAATAGTATGCCTCTGTTAAAAACAGGTTTACAGAAGAATATATAATGACATGAAAATTTGTTCATATTCTTGTTAAATCAAAAACCAATTTTACAAACCATTATGTACAACATAAGACTTTTTTACTTAAAATCAAGCAAAAGAATAATCTGTACATGCGCACAGAAGAGGCTGGAAGACTATACACTAAATGTCAGTAGCAACTATCTTTGGTTAGTAGGGTTACAGGTGATTTTTACTTTCTCCTTTATGCTCCCCCCAATATATCTATAATAAATATGACATCAACAATTGGGGGTGGGAGGAGGTAGCTTTAAACATTTCAAACAAAATGAGCAGCAAACAAAAAAAACCTATATAAATTAGGATTGCCTTCCAATAGGGGAACATGTGCATGGGTGCACACACACACACGCACACAAACACTCAGACAGCCTATTGGTTTTATCCTATTTTACAGTGCTTATGATTAAACCCTGGCAAATTCTTGGACTTTACATTCTTTGATTGTTAGTTCAAAATAATTTAAACCCTGATGGCACAGAATGATCTCAAAAGTTTACACTCTTTTCAGTTAACATGAAGCATTTCCTACCCATACTTTGCTAAATCTGGTACAGCATGAAGTCACCTTGTATAGCTCTGGGAACTTATGCAAGGGGTGTAATGACAGTCACATGTTAGCACACAGATGCCACTTTGATAATGGGAGGTTTCAGCCCTTTAGCCAACATTCCCCACGCCACTGAAACCTAAAACTGTCTCTACAGAAAAATAGAGTTTTCCGCCAAAATCTATCCATAGGCAGATCTGTCACAAGTTATTGAGGAAAAGCTAGATACATCTGGGTAAATCTTTGCTCTGGGGAGTGACAATGTCATCTATGATAGCACAAAGCCTTTCCTTACTAGTGTCCTTTGCTGTCCCTGACAGAATGGATTGGAGGGATGGTTTTGTTTATTCATGTCAACCATCTGCTACTGGTTAATGCAGCTGGCTGATTAGTGCCTATGAAATTTTAAAAGGCTGATGGTAAAAATGACTGCAAGGTAGATAGTTCAGTCAAAATGAGTGTCCATCTTGTGAAATGTGACACTCTTCCCTGACTGTGTCCAACTGTTCCTGGACCATAGAAGGAAAATAGCCAAAAATATATTTATTTTTCCTATACTGAATGAGCCAGGGATCCAGACAAAATTAGACTTAAACTTTAAGCGCAAAAATTTCCATAAATTAGTGGTAGGACAGGGTGGATAGTTCTAGGCTAACTAGAAGCTACTCTCCAGCTGAATTCACCCTGTAGTTGATCCAACCTTACCCAGATGGGTGTTTTGAATTACACAAAATCTCGCACAGTCTAGAAAGATGACACTGGCTAGAAGTTCAAGCACAGAAGCTTCAGAATGACACCTCCAAGGAATATGCATTTGTAATAATCTTCCAAAGTCCTTTAAAAACTAATAGTGAATCCAAGTTAACCCATTCTTAAGCACAGCTATTATGTCTATTCTCAGAAATTAAAAACAGAAGATTGCAAAGAATTTGACAGACAGAACTTCCCCAGCTCACCATTCTTCTGGGAATATAAGTGGGCAGGAAGTCACAGAACATACCACCTATTACTGACTGACTTACCTTGTTGTGGCTGATCCCCGGGGAGCTTCAGCTTACAGGTGTGCAAACTAAACAGGTGGCTGCTGCTGTTTCTTTGTATAGTAGACATGGTACTAGCAGTCTAGCTGTGGCTCCAGTGTCGCCAGGGCATTTCCTTCCCGTGGCCAGTCACTTAAAATGGTCTTCACAAGACACCCAGAACCACAGAGGAACATGCAGACCCCATCCTTGGATGGAAAACATTTACTTCTCTAATAAACTTCCAAGTTTTTCCTAGCCATGGTTCTTGAAATAAATATTTACCAATGTAACTTCTCCTACAGAGAAAGATGCCAATTCATTTGGATAAAAACAAACTTAGTTCTTCTTTCATTTCAAAATGCATCGAATCTTTCCCTCTTCTAGAATAACATCCCACAAAGTAACTATTTCTAACAGATTACAGTTTTGGCAATTCTTTATCCTGCTGACATGAAATTCAACACCTCAAGTAGAGAGGACTGCTAGAGTAATGCCTACACAAAGAAAAAGTGCTACTGACTTAAATTAAGTGATTTCCAAGTCTGGTCTGAGTCCTTCCGTGACAGCTGAAAGTGAACAGTTCTTAAAGGAGCCTGGAAGGAGGAGGCGCCAAGTGGGTTAAGCTCATTAGCATAAAGAGGCCGGCAAGAAATTGCATTGCAGTTCCTTTGACCAAAGCAGAGATTCTAAAAGATACCCTAATGTCACGGTCACTTCTGCTACTTGTAATTAAAACAAAAACTCAAAGCGTGGATTTATCTGACACGGGTATTCATTTGTACGTGCAGAAATCTAAAGGGTATAACTGGAGCTGGTAATGAGCTCATGGAAATGTACTGCTGGAACTTTCAATTTCTGTAAACACCTCTGAGTCTTCAGAAGGGAGCAGTTACAGAGCAGCCTGCCTGCCAAGGCAACTATTTGGAGTTCTGGAAGAAAAATAAACACACAAAACAATCTCTTTCCAGAGATCTACCTCTGTTTCCCTTAGATTCCCTATTGCTACTGTTAGGTCAAAAGACATGCCTGTTTGCCATGTTTTCTTGTGCTGAAGTACCATATTTCATTAAAATATTGAAAATAGATCACATTTCATTGACATGCTCTTTGAATAATAGTGTATATCATTATTATTTAAAAACATTAATCACAAACACCTTTCAATTAACTTGGGAGCCTGCTACAACTGAAGTCTTAATGAATGCTGGTAGAGTCTGCCCCTCAAATTTTACAACTTTGTAGAATCAGAGAGATGGAGGGCATGGACAATGAAGAAAGGCGGAGCTTTATAGCCTCAAAGTTCGAGCCCACACCTCTCTGTGCATATTTGGAAATGGGTGATAAAGGACACCCTAACTAGAAGGTGACCTCTTGGATCTGGTCTGTCATTTTACTTTGAGGCAATTAACAATTCTCCAAGCAAACTCATATAAGGCCTGGGGAAGGAAGTCATATATGGCTTATTAAAATAATTAAACATGATTCCTTAATGTAATTAAAAATCCAGGTAAGTCTTCATATTCAACAAATTGGTGAAATAATTCAGTATTTATCTCTCCTGATTTATTTCACTTAGGATAATTTCCTTCATTTCCATCTGTATTGTCACAAATGACAAGATTATCTTTCTTTTTCATAGCTGAATAGGACTCCACTCTGTGTATATATCACATTTTTTTTTTTAAAGATTTATTTTTTTTATTTATACAAGAACCAGGGTACAGGCCAGATGCGCAGTAAGGTGAGAGGATTCACCAGAGCTGGGAACAGAACAGGCAGACTGATGAAATACACTGCTGAGGGGAGCAGCGGGCGAGACAGGAGAGGTCTGCAGCTCTATGTGGGACCCTAGCCAGCTGGCCGGGATCAAACTGGCACTGCAGAGGCTGCGGACAGCTTCACAGAGCTGCGCTCAACCGCCTGCGCCACCAGAGGAGGCCCAATATATATCACATCTTTTTCATCCACTCATTTGTCATTGGGCACTTAGATTTTTTTCCCCATAACTTGGTTTTTGTAAATAGTGCTGCAATGAGCATATATCCCTCCAAATTGGTTTTTGTTTTTAATTCTTTGGGTAGATACTTAGGAGTGTAATTGCTGGATCATATGGTAGATCTATTTTTAATATTTTGAGAAACCTCCATATTTGGAGGTTTTCTATAGGGACTCAACTAGCCTATATTCCCACCAACAGTGTAGAGTATTCCTTTTCCCTACACCCTTGACAATACTTGTTGTTTCTGGTCTTTTTGATATGAGTCATTCTCACAGGTATGAACCTTGCACTCTCAAGGGTGTGCTGTGTGACCCTGTGTCAGATACTTAATATCTCTGGGTTTTTCCTTCATTTGACAAATGAAATAAATATTTAGTAAACAATGTAAAGAGCATTGAGAAAGTACTGCTTTAGCCTTAGCTACAGGCTGAAGAGAAAGAAATAGAACTAAAACTACAAGTTTTGGGGGTATATTTGATAATTTTGGCCTATGATCCTCAAACCTGGCTGACTACAGTAATTACCCTTAGAATGTCATAAAGAGAATGATTTCCTGCACCTCAACTGCAGTCTGAAGTATGGGGTGTAATCTAGAACCTATATAATATATATTTTTCTTTCTTAACTTCACCCCATTTCATCGAGATAAAACTGACAGTAACATTGCAGAAATTTAATGTGCACAATGTATTGATTTAATACATTTATATGTTGCATAATGATTGCCACCACTGCATTAGCTATCAACTCATCCCATCACATGGGTACTATTTCTTTTTTTGTGGTGTAAACTCAGATTTCCTCTCTTAGCTACCTTCAAATATATAATATATTATTACCTTAAATTCCCATCCTACATATTAAATCCCCCAAATTATTACTCTTATAAATTGGAAGTTAGTACCATTTTACTAGTAATTCCTCATTTCTCCTTGGCAGTCACCATCCTGCTCTGTTTCTCTGAGTTTGACTTTTTTGGATAGAATCTACATACTGTTAGAGTTTTCTTGGCAAGGTAAACAGGCATCATCTGCTTAAACAGAGCTGGTTTGCTCCACTATTTCCTTCATTATATCTTTCCTGAGGACTGATGAAACCAACAAAGACTCTTTAAACATAGTGGTTTCTAGTGCCACAGTAAAAGGGGGTAGGCAGGATATTGCTGTCTGGTTTCTCTTATGTAACATGATTGGGCATCATTGAGTTAGCCCTGGTTGATTACCTGAGTTGGGAAAAAAACTGGCTCTTACACTGCATGTTGAATTACACATCTCCTGTCAGAGAAGTCTCTCTTTGACGCACAAGTTTCCACCAGAAATAAGCCAATGTATTGAAAGCAGTAAATTATGGGAATGTATCACATAAAATCAGATGTATCAGTCATAGTATTAGCCATAGAAGCAAGGCCATCAACCTTTTCAGAAATACCACCAAGTTTGTAGTTCACAGTGGGCATAGTCTACTTTGCTACTTTGCTTTGAAATAAAATGAAGAAGTCAGAATGCAGAAGGTGAAGTCTGAAGGAAGGTTTGAGTAATAGTTGGCATTTTTACTTACAATTTTAGTAAAATAAATTAAAGTTCTTGAAAATCAAGCTTTTCCCCTTATCAGCTTTCTGGAATTTCAAAGAAATGCTTTGGGTTTTCTTTATCTGGGCTCTTCCCCTCTCCCAAATGTTCTTGGCTTAACCTGTGTCTTCATACATAGAAGAGTAGACTGGAATGACATGGCATGGGTAAACAATTGATCTTATCAGCTGGTATATTTCGAGTGGATACTCAGAAATGGATATTTTATGATTAAAATTCATAGCTTGAAATATTTGGTACTGAATTATTAGGAGGCTTTTCTTTATCTGGTGAACCAAATTTTAAATGCAGGAACACATTCACTGTATATTGGTCCACAGGTCAGTTGTCTGTTTAATAATCTGTCTTTTTCGAAAGTATTGTATCTACTCTATAAGAATATCCACTCTTTGATGGTCTTTGGTCTGCTTTACATGACAAGTACATAAATATGAGTCAATAGTATAGAATTTGTCATGTTATTAAAGAATTCTCATTAAAGAATTCTTATTCTTATTCTTATTAAAGAATAAGATGGAAGACTCCTTGTAGAATGTAAATATGAAAGTTATAAGACTCTGGCCTGGACTTCACTATGATCCCAAGTACTGTAGGAATTATTAAGTAGTCTCTGTAACTCAAGACTGATAAACTAGTATTAAGACTATTTTAGATTTTCTATTGATTTAAAATAATAGAACCCTGCTCTCTTATCTTAATTAATGTTTGATTTTTTTCTAGGTCATTCTTCCTTCCACCAAAGACACTGTGGATGAGAACTTTGAGTTGTGGGCTCTTGCAATGGCTTATATAACATATATATCATCAAGCACCATCAAGGCAGACTTTCGTGGCTGTCCAGATTTGTGTTTCTCTAAATTACTGAATGTGGTCAGTTCAAAGAGTTTCCCAGATAGCACAACTGACTGAGTTCTCATATTTTCAACTTGTAAAATCATAGGAGATGTTAGAGATTGCATTGCTCCTATTCACGGTTTCAAGAGGTTACACTGGCACAGCACCAAATTGCTTATTTATCAAAGGTGTTCTGTATTCTGAAATTGCTGCCATTGATATTTAATCAAATGAAAGTCAACATTTGGATCTTAGTTATCAGAACTATTGCTTCATTCCATAAACATTGCTTTGGCAGTTCAAATTAATTTTGGCTTTTTCTCAAATGAGTTTCAGATTCGACTGCTGAAGAGCTCCCTCTGGAGCTCAAGGTCAGTAACATAACCTTGGCATCAGCACAACATAAATCCACATTTTCTCATACAGCACCCAGAAGAATGGAGTCTTCTATTTTCTAATGATTATTGTACCTAAGGTTGTAGGATATTGCCTGATTATTTTATGATATGTGAATTTGATCAGTGCTCTGTATTGACATTTAATCTGTGTAGCTTAGCATTATCTATTAAAGGCTTTAAGTGAAGTGCGAATTAGACAAAGTAAAACCAAAGGTCAGAAAAGTTTTGTATTGTTTGTTTGTTTTAAGTGGCAAGGAACCCCAGAACAAGGTGGTTTTGGTACCATAATATCTACCATCTGGTTTGGGTCAAATGATTCTACAGAGTCTGAATTCTGTGTGTAAAATACACAGGTATTGGAGTCATTGGGTTTGCATCAGAACTGAATTCTTTGAAGGTAAAAACTCAATAACTGGCATCTTTTCCAAAAAGAGTAACTTACATCACATCAAACTTTTGTTACTTCATTTGAATTTATATTTAGAGGAAAAAAATAATAACCAACCTTTGTTCCTCCCTCTTTCCTTCCTCACCTCTCTTTTTCTTCTCTATTTCTTATTTTATTCATTATGTAAATTAGATGGAGTATAACTTTGATAGACTAAAATTAAATTATTCTTTATCTAAATTAGGGAGATTATAAATTTGTTTTCAAAATAATTTGGGTAAGGAAACTATGGAGGTACAGATGAAATAAGATTGGGCATAAATTGATAATTTTTAAGCCTGAGTGATACATGTGACTGATGCTTTCCTGTC